TCCCATTTCATTTAAACCTTCACTCTTTTAAAGGCTACAACTTCATTTATCAGGGCAGTGATAACGATCCTCATTGGCATCGACGTCAACTTTAATCACTTCCTCTTTTTTTTTGTTTCGCGTGTCTCAGCCAATGTTGAAAGAAGACCATGATCGTTTGTACATAACGACCCATTCAAAGTGCAAAGACGGAAACGTTAAACAGGACCGGAAGATAATATGACGATAACAGGATATAGCCAACGTGAGACGTGAATAGAGTCTTCCGAGTGCCCTGCTCAGAATAATCTATGGAGAGGGAAAGACGCCTTTTGTCTCCCATTCTTATAAGAATCAACAAATCATCGTTATCTGCTGTCAGCGGGACAAGTAACTGTTGATATCTTTATCGCTGGGTCAGTGATGCCCTATATTCTCTGAGCACGACTGGGATAATTGCAATGAAAGGGATTTACACCACAACAATTTGCGTATCTGCCTAGCCTCAGAAGAAGCAGGACTGTCAGATTCATTAGCCTCCTTTGTTTTTAGACACTGGAACACTTGTCCTGGATAATGAGATATCATGGAAATCATTATCCATGACCACGCGGCAGCTGGACGGAGTTTTATTGCCTCTCCATCTGGCGACAGTTCTTGCGGTTCCATCTCTTGGCATACACGGACAAGGCCCAGCCAAGGCATTCATGAAAACTTTTTGAGTGACGCCAGTGGTGTATTTGTGGGTGTACGTGAGTATAGGTATATTCCCAAGGGAAATATTCTGAGTTGCGTGAACATAAATCTGCTCATAAATCTAGGAATGGAAGTGATATACGTGAGTATGCGATCATGGGAGTCGCAGAATTTTCTCTTTCCCTCTTGGTTTCCATGAACCGATTATTGTACGGTAAGCCGCAAAAAGCGGTCGTCGCCATCGCCGTTCTCCATGTTCGATGCGATGATACTGTACTATTAACGCGAGCAATATTTCAATGACGTTGACATCCTTCCAGCAGTGAAACCCCTTCATCACATAGAGAATTGGTTGCGTTCCAAATAATCACCGTGCTAATGACTGTAAGATCATCAGAGGGGCATGACGATGAAAGAAACAAGACAATGGATCGCCAAGTTGGAAATTTATCAAGAACGCGATGTGCTGTACGTGGACGGATTCGCGTGATGCCATATTCCTTCAAATTGATGGCTTGGTACTCTAGATCAAGTATGTCCAAAGTGCTTCGATGCAGCCTGCGAGGAAATTCGGGGGAGGGGGAGGGGGGGGGGGATTGGAGATAAGAGAAAAGACAAGAGGATAAAACGATGGTGCATGCGGGGGGATGAGTGCCCCTATGGGTGCAGCGGGTGTCACGAAACCTTAATCGCCGTTCACCGGTAGAACTGTGTATTCATCTATGCATTGACGGTCAAAATTTCATAATCGTGTATGCTCACCACCGGCCTGGATGAAAATTAGAGGGAGAGATGGGTAAAACTGCAGTAAATTGAGGATTGATCGGTGTCAGACAAAGTATTTTTGAGAACTTTTCCCACACGTTCCAAAAGACGATCATGGGAAAATGGCTGTCCAGGAGTCTCACGAAGCTTCAGGTTTTGATTGACCTTTTCAAGATTGCACCTATTTCATTTCTGTTGACATTGAAGTTAATTGAGTTCAGGAATTCTGACTTCAATATATGTGAAAGCATGGCTTCATTGTTCGAATTTCGAGCTGAAGATTTGATGCTTCGTAAGCCTCCTTAGCGGCAATTTCCTCGTGATTGCCTTTTTGGAACATGTTAAAACAGTTCTGGCGATAGGTCACACAGGGTCGGACTGGCGGCCTAGGGGTCCCCCGGGAAATTGCTGACAAAGTGACCCCAACCTTCTAAAGAATATACTTAAGAAAAATTCAGGGATAGATTAAAAAGACACATCCTTCAATGTCGATATATATAGTTATTATATATAGTAAATTATGGCAGTAATAAATACAATAATAATGACGCATTAATAATTTTTTATCAGGTCGGGGGGGATGGGCCAGGAAATTTCCCGGTATCCTGGTGGGCCAGTCCGACCCTGCGCATACGCGATATTGAGATTTAGTCTGTAAAAACAATGCAATGAATTCAGAAACAAAGCCTGTTTTGATTCACCGTCGCATAGTTCTGCTACTGAAGGGTGGGGAGGGGGGGGGGGACTTTGGCTTCGTTGCACCCATTGCAAGTACTTTCGTAGCCAGGAATGTTTTGCCCCAATTAGTCCAAAAGTTTTGACATTCCTGTTTTAGATCCTTTTTAGGACTGCACAGTATACCGAAATTGGAACTTACAAATGTGTTTCGGAATGGCGGTTGTATATTTGGTACCGATACAATTTTTTTTCGTACTCATAGTACTTATTGAAACTACAGCCGAGCTGCAGTTACATTTCAGGAAAAGACTCGAAATATATGACAGGCACGAGACTCGTACCATATAAATCTAAGATTGTTCCTCAGTTGAGTCTCAGCTACCTGCTTGAAGAGACTGCTGTTCGGAATACAAATCCAGTTCCAGTCGTTTCTGAGTCGAAGTCCTAACAAAGGCATTCATCTTTTTTTTCCATCCGGTCAGGTGTGCCCAGATCTTGGGTGCACTTGTTATTTCTAAATAATAGGAACATTTCCCCTCGGGGCTCCCATCTGGAGCGAAAGGGTTCAAGTCCCAGTCGAGTTTTTCAACGCCCACGCCGCGAAGTGAGGAGATTGAGACAGAGACTCTCAGACACGGAAACCCTCGTTGGTATGCGGTTGAAGGGGTGGGAGGGGTCCATCGCGGACAGGGTTGCGGGACCGACAGTGATGCGAGATCGGGGCAGTGAGAGATGATGGCCACCGGGGTGCTTGTCGTCGTCAGGAATCTCTCCCACTTCAGGTGATAAAACGCTGTTTTAGGCTTGGATAAAAACGTGCGATAATGTGGAGAGAGCACTTGAGGGTAAAAGCTTCTCCCTCTCCAATCCATCTATGTTGCTGAAGAAATCACAGAAGTTGAAAGGTAGGAAGGCTTCCTCGTTCTTCTCCGCGGGTTATCTCCTTGCTCGGCGGTTGCTGGAGACAAAGGTCGTTTGCCTCGCGTTTGTCGAAAGCCGGCGCACTTTTAGGAATTGGGCAGTAGCCAGCTCGTAAATTCCCATGTTAAATATTCCTCTATATGCTGCATGCCTTGGGCCAAAGAACGATTGGATTGCGAGAAACATCAACCAGTATCTAATGAAGCAAGGCAAAAAAAAAGATCGTACGAATGTTTGGTCGGTTTCAGTTCCTCGGCTTCAGATTATCACGAAGGTGTTTCCACATGACCGACTGATGTTCCGAGAACTAAAACTCATTTTAAATGGTGACGAGAGAAGTTTTTCAATAAGCCGCCTGCCTGCCTGCCTGCCATTTACGTTCCTTCGAGCTTCCATTCCTTTTGTGGGGATATAGTAGTCGTGTTCGACACAAATTCCATATACGGGAGCAAAAGAAATCGAAATGCCAGAGGCGCTCGCGACAGAGAGAGTCATTCCATTCATCCTGGGGACAAGAACAGCCTGAGCTGCGATCATGATGGATCACAGTGGTAATCGTTCCATTTTGGTTCTAAAGTACACACGTGAGAGCAGCCTGACATTGGCCCGGAGGGAGATTGACTTTCGAGATCTGGTGGAGCCGGTTTCGTTTCGACGCTGACCAAAATGTTATCGGCGGGAGGGATCCCTTCGTTCGATTCCACGTCTAGGGGTCAAACCGCATCCAAACCGAGATGTAAACCGCAGAGAGAAGCCGGTGTTTTTTTTTCTTCTCGACAGCCGCGTTCCCATGATTAAGGACCTTGTAAGTCTCACGCCTTTGACACTTGAGCACCGGAGATATGATGTTGTCTGCAGGATGATGACGGGAATAATAGCAGCTTTTCCCTGTCCGCCTCTCCAATGTAGGAAAAGGACGGGGTTTGTTGCGCCTTCCGCTTTCGCCGTATTGCCTGCTGGCACGAAAACGGAAGACGGAATTGAAAGATGGGCTGGCGAAATGATGGCATGCCGGGTGCGAATTCGTGGGGGGAGACGTACCATTATAAAACGCCTTATCGGGACATCGTCGCCAGCAGGGGTTCAATGTTCTACCCGTCTCCCAAGGGTCCTTGAGTAGAATCCAACAAAAACGACCTCAGTCTTTTTTCCTCATTTTTCTTTCTCGTTGAAGAGCTGTGATTTAGTGAAGCTCGTTTCGCACGATTATCAGGCTGTCGACCTTTCAATTAAATCCCGGATGCTTTCATAAATACACGACTGCTTCCATCGCGTTGTTCCGTGTTTGAGCTTATTTTCCTTGGATTCATTTCTCGAAGAATCAAAAGCGTATTCGCTGAATCACTGTTATCCATAACGACACGCACGGTCAGCAATATTCAGCGATGCAATTTGACCCCCGGTGCGTGTCTGCAGGAGTTGAGAACACGATCTGGGCAGAGGTTAATTTTGGGAAAGGGGGAGAACCAAGGTAGGGAAAAGAGAGAATGATTACGAAATTCAATGTCGAGGGCATGGACCAGTGAAGAAGAAATGGAGCGACCCAGGGCAGGTGTTCGCCCGACAGATTATCAACAAAGAATGAAAAGTGTATCCCCCGAATGACCATTATCCAGGGTAGGATAACGATGCCTGAGCGATGGTGATTAGTAGGAGGATTCGAGTCAGCATACACATATCCATATGCACGAGACCCCCATTAATGAAGAAGGCGTGAGGCGTCGTTTTCCGCTTCTTGGCGCCGAATCACACCGTGTTTCCTGAACCGCTCAGCTTTCTTTGGAACAAGGCTTTTGAAGGAGAGAGAGAGAAAAAAAGAGTTGTATTGGGAAAAAAACTTCACCCTCCCCTCTGATTCCCTATAGGAGTTATGGTTCACCGAATCCATGGCGAATGACTGAACAGGAAAATGACCATCCCGTGCGTGCCAACGCGCAAGTAATCAGGGAATCGCTCATTCCATGCAGGTATCAAAAAGCCCCAGAACGGGAAAAAGTAGAGAGGAATTTCAGGAAATCGCCGATGAATAATGTCGCCATCACACAAACATCCATATTTTACTTCGGAATGTCTTTTCCAGATGATGCATCCACAAATGGGTCTGTACGGCGAGCACCTCAGTCCCGCACCGCAGCAGTTCTCATATTTTCCCTACGGAGCCCTGCGCCGACCCGTCCGCCCCCCGACGAGGATAGTGAACTTGCCCCCGCCTCCACCCCCTTCCGGCCCTCCACAGCCGGCCCTCCCGCTGCCCCCAGTACGGAACCACCACGTGGCCGGAGGACACACGGCCGCTGCGGCGTTCTTCCTCAGGTGAGTCCAGGAATTTGGGGCAAAAATACTTGCCCGAAGCCGAGAGATACAACTAGGAAGAGAGGAGACCACTAGTCTTAGTTCTTTCGGGAAGACGAATGTGCAGGAGCGAGTGTTGGGCCATCATTATCCACTTGCACTGTCACCAGGGTGAAAGAGGAGAAGTGAGATTTATTTCAGCCTCTATGGCCTTGCTAAATGGAGGCTAGCCTGACCCTTCTTCCCGAATCCTGACAACTGGCAGCATTTCACAAATGACTTCCAATCGCTGCCTTGCATACCAATAGCTTCTTTCTCTTGCAGTTCATTTCTAGCAGAAATGGGACCTTTGGCGCATTAGGATTACATTTGTCTGCTTTCGAGTTTCCGTGGAATCGGTACTACCGCTAATGTCGCAAGAAACTGCCTGATTATAACGAATGTTTGGAACCGTTTCAGAAAAATAATACGAGCTCCCCGTGGATCTCTTAAGGGCGAATGACAGATGACGACGTCACTCGTTTCTCCTTCCATTGAATTATTCATATAAGTCGTCAGCCGGAGGAAAGCTGAGTCTTTCAGATGATTTAAAACGAGGATTACTGGTCGCTCTCCAGTTTTCAAAATGTTAAACAGATGATTCGAATCGTCTCGGGATATTGACGACTTCCTGGTTTTCTTGATCGTTTTTGTAGCTTTAAATACAAGCTACAAGCATTCGTTTTTGATCCAGGGCTTCTCAGAAGCTGAACATGTCGAGGAGGAGAAGAGACGAGGAACCGGATGGATTCCCGACGGATTTCAGCCACGCGATGGCAGATGCCCCGCCGCTTCCGCCTTCCATCCTGCGAAACCTCGGGCGGAAGGACACGCCGCTGGGGAAGGTGAGCCTCTTTCCGAGTTGTTTTTTCAAGTTCAATATTTTTCCAGTATGCTCGGGTGTTGGGGACGTATACGGCCGGTTCGTGCTCTAGAATAATTAAAATAATGATGATGATCGAGATAAGAACCATCATCTCTGAGGGATTGTTCCCGAGGTGCATGCATTCAATGAGGCGGAAAATAATGCCAGATACCAGCCTCTCGTTGGCCTTGGGCGTTTATAATGGTATCCCTTCCAGAATAGAAATGAGGCAGTACTTGTCTTATCAGTCTCATCCATGCCAAGAAACGCTTCGACCTTGGTCTTGACAAATTTGTAGCGTTTCTGGAGCAACGAAGGCCTTCATCACATCGGCTTTATTTGGGCTTCATTTCCATGAAACCACAGTCTCACCAAATCCAGGAAGAACGCCCGCAGCAAGGCCTTCATCAAATTCGCTGCTCCGACGACTTTCATTTTTTTGCGATGATTAATCCATTCAGACGTGAGCAGCTGGCACTGGTGATGGACGGGGGCTAAAACGAGGTTCACGCGTTCCGTGATGGATCACCGCATGCCTCCGAGCTTACACGCCTTTCAGTCCACCTTCGTAAAATAAATTATAATTGCACCACCAGTCAAACACCTGCTGGAGGCCTCAACCAACAGAATTCATGAACTAATCAGCGTGATATTGAACCTACGTATGCCTCGATCCGCGGTGGGTCGGGTTCCATGCTGTGACACATGAACGGGCCTGACTAATCATCGTTTCGAGATCACGTGGATGCGCACATAAAGGTAGGGGGTAAGTACAGTCTACGTGCTGTGGGGGGAGAGGGGGGTAATCGGGTAATGGGCCAGGTGCTGAACGGCGCGTGAGGTTCCACATCCACGCACAACGGCCGGTAATGAAGATGAAAAACGGGGCCGAATGCGCCTCGATTGTGAGGTTGGGTCCATTGATTTTGTTGAAACCTCGCCTATGTCAGACAGTCGTTGGCTCTGGTCTGATTCCCTTGGGTCACGAGGAGAATTGCAGGGGTCATTGGACAGGTGCACTGAGGTGTAGCTGTATCCAATCTTATGGGGAGCAACAGGGTTTTCAAGAATCCAGAATTGTATCGTATCTATCGCAGCGTTGGACGATAACTAAGTAAGGGCAACGCGATGCAACAACCAGTCTCAACGGAACCGTAACCAGTTCCTTTCCCGGGGAAAAAAAGCAGTGGTTTTATCGAAACGCATTACTATCTTGATTGCGGACGCAAAATTCAGGTGAAAGTGAATGTATTATTACAGTCATCCTTGCAATAATTGAAATCGCTTGCAAAGCTGAAAATGCTGTTCATCAAATACACATTCCAACAAGCCAGAGCTGCAGTGGAGCAACAATTTAATCCAAGAGGGGACATTTTTTTCTACATTCAATAGCGATCCTACGCATACGAGTACAATATATCGCGAGGTAATAGGACTCCGTTTCCTGGAATTACTCTCGCAGAGGTAGGTCGTCTATGGGAAGAATTCTTCATTGTTCATGCCAGTGCACTCGCATGTGTAAACCCTAAGGTGCAATTCAAAGCAAGAGGGTAAATAATGCCATTGACACTTGTGTGTCAATGGCATTATTTCCACTCCTCATTCTTCATTCCAGTTCTGTAGCAGTGATGACCAGTTCCAAGTCAACAGAGCTCAGAAAATGTAACTTGTACTTGTAGATAGTTACTCTTGTTGAGACGTAATTAGACTATTAATTACTTCAGGCATGGAATTTTTTTAATTGCAACTGAGTGCATTAAACAGCTGCACGAGCACGGAACTCGGGTTACGCGACCGGTCCTACAAGGGAAGCGCTCACTGAACACATCCTCCCCTCCATGCATTTTCTCTCTCTCTCTAGAATATGTACAGGGTATGGCAAAAAGACTTTTCATCTTTATGATGGTGAATACTTTTGCACTTACTGGAGCCATTCTTACGAAACATGAAGAGTGTAAAGTGATAAGTTTACAACACCCCTTTGCACTTTCATGAAAATTTGTTCTGCAAAAGCAAGGCCATGAACATGATTGGAAAGAAGTTGGAAATTACAAATGGACGGGGGACTTCAGCTCATGCAAGACGACGAGACTCCGTGCATGCATTTTCAGCACTTGGGCTCTTCCTCCTTTCAACATCCAGCAGGGCCCCCTTTCCATTTTCAATTTTAATTTATTTTCAATAAATGCTCATAACCTTGCTCTGGCATGATGAATTTTAATGAAATTTCTGGTCGTTTGCATAAATAGTAGTCTAAGCAGGGGTGCAAGTTTCGTGAAAATGGCAGCAATGAGCACGGATATTTAAAAAATTGAAAGTCGTGGGTCTTTTTTGCCATACTCTGTATACACGAGCGCAAGAAGCAAAGCGGCACTGGATGGTGGCTTCGAAGAAGAGTACTGTACAGTGCTTGGGCTCGATTCTATCGCCATGTTGATTGTGCACGAACGCGAATCCAAAACTCGGTCTACCAGGTCGGGTGCTCGCTCGACTGGCGCCCCGGGGCTGATTCCCCTCATTCAGTCGGCGTTTCATTGCATAAGCAACTGCGAAAAGTGAAAAATAATTCGCCCTTGGTTTGCAAGTTCCTGCATCTTAGAGCTGTAATAAAGCGGGAAAAATATAGCTTGATACTATTTTATTGTTTTGAAAATTTACATTGGAACAAGTCTGCCCTTTACTGGATTCTAATCTGCATCCCGCCAGCAAAGAGTAAAGGTCTCTCTGAAAGGGGGGAAATTCTCATGGGGTCATTGTAATAAAAAAATCTAATCTACTTGTATTTCCACCTGTACTGGTGAAAATACAGGTATATTAGTTTTTTTTAAATGCAATATAGGACATATTGGACTCTTGAGTTACGCCATATGGAGACACTTTTTCTGCGTGGTTCCGATTCTCTATTTAGTGTGAGGCTGTGAATCCGATCTCAGAATGACAAAAAAATTCCATATTGCCTTCGCACTCAAGATTTTAAATGACAACCGAAACCCCCTACTACTACTCTACTGTTTGTTGAAAAATAAAAGTATTCACTGATGATATAGCAACCGCTTTCGAGAAAACGATCGAACACCATGGAATTGCGTTAACGGGACAATCTTGAACAATTTCTCCTAAGAATGTTCGGTATTCTGAAGAATTCCCATTGGCTACGTGGCAATAACCGTGTATAATAGATTCTGTGGTCTGTTTTCATTACATTTCAAAATGCGATGTAAGTGGAAGGGGGAAGGGGGGAATCTGAAGGTCATGAGAACGTCGCAAGATTATCTAATATTCAGAAGAAGCGGCCAGTAGCTTTTCCGTTACGGAGGGGGACGATAAAAGAGAAGAAATGAGTTGTGATGAAGATGATAGCCTGAGGGGGGGGCACTTGGATTTTCTCTCACGAGGCCTAAGGGGGGACAGCCAACAGGTGGGTGAAGACAGACAGGAAGGAAATGGGGGATCTTTTATTCCCTTTCTACCCTATTATCCCCCCCCAAGTGATAATTATGGGCTACTGGAAGTATGATCCTTACTGCAAATCTGAGCTTCTTGAATGTCTCCCAGTCCGGCGAATTAGACAATTACGGTGAATAACAAAATTACTGTCAGACATTAGCGATGCCCTATCGGTTTTTCCCAAAATATTTTCTTACTCATGCCCCACCATTTTATAGGTGAAGGTCATGCTGAGGGTGAAAGAAGGGGAAGGAAGGGAATGCTTGGAATTGGACCCGAAAAGGAGACAGGTTGCTCTCCTTGACCCCAGTCGGGTCGCGGTTGGATCCAATCATTCTTTTGTTCCAGCATGTGCTCCGAAGATGTTCGCTTTCGATGCCCTTTTCCACCCTCAAGAGTCTCAGGTAACACCTAACGTCATCAAGTAATATAAGTCTACCGTAAAAAAAAAATTGTTTTCCAACTCGCAGGCTGATTTGTACTTCTCCCAATTAGACTGAGGTGTGCTCGGCTGCGTTGACGGACATAATTGCATCCGTGGTAGCTGGAAACGATGGCTGCTGCCTTTGCCTCGGACAGTCTGGACTCGGTAAGTGCCATTTCTTGTTGTCCACATCCATGATTCGCAGAGATGAATTATTTGTGAGCTGAAGGAGTCACCATGGATCTGTAGGAAAGACAGAGACCATGGTGGGTCGGGATGGGAATCCGGGCATAATCCCGATGGCCATCGCTTGGCTATTCAAGAGCATTGGAGAGCAGAGGCAGAAAAGCGGAGCCAGGTTCTCCGTCAGGATTTCCGCCGTCGAAGTCCTGGGTGCCCAGGAGACACTCCGGGATCTCCTCGCTCCCTATGCTCACGGTACGTCCATCGGTGTTTGGTTAGGATATCATGCACGGGATTCCGAGATTTCAACGGCTTATATTCTGCCCAGACTCGGAGCAATCTCCCGGAGTGTATCTCAGGGACGACCCACTGTTCGGAGCCCAGTTGCAGAACGTCAGCGAGCTGAGAGCGTCGAATGCCCAGAAGGCGGCGTATTACCTGGATGCAGCCCTGGCTGCTAGAACTCCACAGGGTTCGGCTGGGAACGTCCATCTGTTATTCACCCTCCATCTGTATCAATATAGCCTGGTGGATGGGAAATCCGGCAAGTCTGCAGGTCCAGATTCCTTCCTTCCAGTCCTATTCATTTTTCGTCTCAGATGACAAAAATGGTTAAAGAATGCTTTTGTCGGCTGGCAGTGTCGGGAGGAAGAAGCCGACTGCATCTCTTTGACCTCGGAGGAGGGGATAAGACGAGCAAGGGAGGCCTCACCTCTTCGGCGATCGGGAATGTCCTCATCGCCATCTTTAATGGAATCAGGCACCTGCCGCATAAGTGAGGGGAATCTGCATCTTGGGAATTGGAAGATCAAATTACCTGTCCTTGTAGAGAGAACGCCATGCTCATTCATCTCTCTCTTGTCTTTTTTTTAGGGAGAGCAAGATGACGCAGTTACTGCGGGAATGCCTGAATTCCCTCACGTGCCAGGCGACAGTGATCGCTCATGCCTCCAATGCAGCCGACCACTACTCTGACAGCCTGGCCACAATACAGCTCGCCTCTAGGATACATCGCACGAGGCGCAAGAAGATTAAAGTAAGGAACAAAAAAGTTTCCCTCGATAGGAAGTCGATCAGCAGGTGATGCAACACGAAATTTCTGTCGGCAGATGCGAATTGGAGGATCAGGGAGTTCGGGGACAGAGAGCTCCTCCACCTCTGGCAAGAGCACAGGTCCATCAAGCAGCGAGCAGAGCTGCGACACGGTCATATACCTTGGTCATGGGGCCGCCTCAGGATCCGCAGATGACACAGCGACAGACGGAGAGCATCCACCTACTCATTGTCCCTTGGCTCGAATCAAGCACATCGAGAAGCAGGCCCAGATGAAAGGGGCTCGGGACAGAGGGCCCAAACCACCGTTGGCTCCAAAGCCAACCCGACTTCCCCGACCTGTCACTCCAAAATATTCTGCCATTAGTCAACCAAGAGCAAATGGCATTGAAGGGAAAGACACCACAAATGACCCTCTTTCTACTGATGCCGACACTGCTCAACTAGTAAGTCCCTCATTCATTTCCCTATCACTGCAATTAAGTATCAAGTTTGTAACCAGCATACCTTATTTGCCGACGTTGTATCTTCAGATGGAATCAGAGACTGCCTGGAAAGAGGAACACTGGATAGATGGTCCCAAGTTCTCAAAATCTCAAGTGGCTCGGGCCAGGAGAGTGAAGGCACAGACAGCCGGAATAAGGACAAATGGGGCCCTTCTGTATGGTTTCATGGACCGGCATAAGAAGGCCATGATTGAGCAGTGGGTCAAGGGCCAGGCTGAGTCTGCAGAGGTCTGGATAGACCAACCCCCCTCTGAGGGTGACTGCCAACCAATCACAGAACAGACACAGGAAGAAGTCTCTCCTGAAAGGGATTACAAGGTGACAGCAGTGGACATAGAAAATGAGAACGAGGGCTATGACTTGGGAACAGGTCAAGACCCTGATCTTGAATTGATCTTGGTGCGTGACACTGGGGCTCAGGTAAATTTGGATTTTTTGTGATGAAGCATCATCCGCAGCAAAGAATTTTGGCTCAATATGAATTTTTAATTACTCAGGTGACTGAGGAAGATATATCTAGGTGTCTGGGTGTGGACATTGAGAATCCTCTTCCTGAGTCAGATCAGGAGAGTCTTCTTGATCATCCTCTACGCATTTTGAGTCAAGAGAACCTCTCTGTTGCCTCTACCTTCACTGGCAAGTTGATTCATTTTGTTGTTCAACTCATCTAGTCAGAACTGGACCAGTCAAAATACTTAAATAATAACATCACAGGCTTTGGAATTATATTCCCTGGAAATTCTGTTAGTGATTTCTTGTTATGCAATATATCACTGGATGAAATTGTTGTAAGATGTTTGTTGAATGGAAATGATTTCACCCAACCTCTAAGTTTTTATTTAAAAATTGGCATAAAAAATAACATACTTATCCTGGTTAAGTAGTTTGACAAGCTAATGCTGACAGTTGAAGATGGACAAGAAGATAGCTTAACTTAATTAGAGCTGCTGGAAATGGTTTAGGTTCTTATGGTACCTATTTATATTTCCACAGATGGCATTTCTGTCTATGAAAGTGGGGATGATCTAGAGGACCCATCAAATTTGACAGAAGACCTGCTACAAGCCTGGAGATGTGAATATTTTGCTAAGCGTTTTCCCATTCCTCCTTTGGCACAGGAGGAAGGGAATCATAATACTCCACTCCGCTGCCAGTCCCTGACTCTCAAAGACATGTTGTATGGAAGTGCAGAGTCATCACTGAATGAGAAACTTAGTGAAATCGCCAGCATTTCCAGTGAGCCATTCCGTGAAGACAAGGTCCCACTGGTGCGATCAAAGATGCGCCCTTTGCCCGAAGATGTTGCCAACAGTTGCCTTTGCTCAGACTTTGAAACTCAGCTGCAGAACAAGCTGAGCTTGATGTATGCATCGCTTCGGCTCCCAGATGGCGCATTGGACCCCAATTTTACAATGGAGGAGAATGTTGTGAAACCCTTGGAACCAATGACTTCAGAGAAGCCTTGCACAGTGTCTGACTCCAGTCTGCATAGCCTCTCTCGTTCTCACACACTCAGCAGCAGTGGTGGAAGTGGTAGCAATACTCTGGGTAGTAACAGCTGGGAAGGCTATGATAGTGGCCACGACTCTGGGCTAGGCTTTCAGCCTCACAATGAGAAAGGGAAAGACAAGTTCTTGAAACTGCTAGGAAGAGCTAAGCCAGTGCATATCAAGCCTCCTACAGTTCAAGATAGTGAAAGTTCGAGTGGTGGCTCCAGTCAAGACTCCGACCCAGAGGAAGATCGGAACATCAAATGCTTGGAAGCGCGTGAGTTGATAGACAAAGACCCACTCACTTCCTTGATGGAACATGATGGATGATCCTCTTCAGTTGGACTAAATTCTGCATGTGATATTTTAGAGTCAGAGGATCCAGAATGTCCACCACTGGAAGTGGAGGAACTTGGGCTTGAGGATGTAATTAAAGCTGAGCGACTTGCCAGCTCCACCCCAGTGGATGAACATTACATATCCTGTATGAGAGGAAAATACCAAAGCCTGCTCAAGGAACTTGGACAAGCAAGGGCTCGCCTTGTCACCCATGGTATGTGTGAATAGTGTCTCTTCCATATTAGAATTCTCTTGAAGCACATCAGCTTATGTTGAACTTTCCCACACAAAACCAAGATTACTGGTGACATAAAAAAGTGGAGTTGTTTATTTTAACAGATAAGACAGTTCTGTTCAGAGTCTATAGAAATAAGATTATCTGTTAACCCTGCTCCTATTTGAACCTGTCATGAGATCATACCAGCTAAGTTTGAAAAGCTACACTGCATGTTTCTTTTATTGGGCAAGTAAGGTGCAGTCCAATATCTGAGAGAGCTTAATGAGATAATAATCATGCAAACTCTTAGATCAGATAACATTGTGAATAACAGTTTTTTATACATGTATTTCCTGTTTCCACATGGAAAGCATATAACACCAAATGTGAATTTGCATATATCTGGCTAAAAAGTAACTTACACTTCCATCTAACTTAACCACATCATCTTATAATTATTTCAGATTATAAGAACAGCCTAAAACTAGCAGCTGGGCTTCAAATGCTTGCCTTTTTATGGTGCACAATTTGCAGGTGTCATGTCATGGAAAGGGCTACTGTTGAGCATTCATTAAAAATCCTACTCTTATGTTGCTTGCTGTCCACATGTTTCACAATTTCCATTAAACCTTTGGGGTCCACAACCAAGTTATCTCATGTTGGCCTCATGATGAAGGATAGGAAAACTTGAATGACAGTGCTGGCACATTCAAAATACTAGGACCCTAAAGGATTAAAGATCACTCCATTCTCATGAGTCTTCAGATCACAGTCCTCATTACTTCTTTTTCCAGAGGTCATTGAAGATACTGATAGCTCAGGGAAGGAACCAGTGACTTCTGCTGAGTGGGAGAGTGAAGTTCAACACCTTGAAAAGCAGGTGGCATCATGTAAAGCCAAATTACTCATGGTCACCTGCTTTGACTCAAGAATTTGAATGAGTGTGTCTGTGCATCTGCATCTCTCTTCTTGTGGCCCCTGTGATAATCTGTGATACTTGACCTTCCCTGAGCATTTCCAACCTCCCTTATATTTCCCCCAACAATTCTTCAATGAAAATCATGAACCGGTAGTTATGACTGAATAAAAGGCTGAAGTCAATTGAAAAAATAATATTCTTCAGATTCCTTTACATGACATTTGACAAATATCGCTTGAACATAAAAACTTGAAAAAAAAAGAAGAAAAAGAATTGATGACGCAATATGATAAAAAGCAGCTTCTCACATGAGAGCAGCACAAAGGGTGTGCAGTTCTTCAACTGAGAGATCAATACCACTGACAGTTGAAGGGAGAGCAGTAAGTCTTCTACGTTTTCGCTTGGCCTGGCTACTGACGAGCTGAGCTCGACACAGAGATCGGAACCCAGCCAGGGTCTCAGCACAGTAGGAGTCACGAGCCAAGACATTGTCCTGGAGAGATTTCGTCAGGTAGTCATATATCTTACCCATCTCCTGGAAATACCTGGAAAATTAAAAGGCATAGGTGAGGGCAATCATAAGGACATCTGCAGCTAATTCAAAGCCGGTGACATATTTTAGATTAGACAAATGAAAAATTAAAAATAACCAGATATGAAAGAAAACTATTCAATCCTCATCACACAATTTGCAATGTCATAATGAAATTCTGTGTCGTAGGGTTTTCTTAAATTAACGAGAATCTGAAATCTCCCTAGTGGGATACGGAACTTCAATAAATCGGGTTTTGCGAAGTCGTCTCAATTTCGCGTGAACATCCTCGGACGACTCGAAATCATCACTCAAAATATGCACCGACAGCTCGACTAGTCATTTTGTGGGCAATTTTCCTTCCGTGAGAGAACGGCTTGCAAGAGGGTGAAGAGTGTCGCACCTGCTACTTCCTGCATCTACTGAAAGTCCCAATGTGGGACTAACAATTCAGATGTTTTGAAGGGTTTTCGCTGGCGTCATCGGAGAGCTTCTAGAATCACGCCCGCGGGACAGAAAGGGATGACGGTATGTACTCTCGAGTACTGAAATGGCCCTGGAACTAAAGCAGCCCCGGCTGCTTTCGCTCTTGGTCTCCTCGTTCCAGTCATCAATCCACAAATTCTATTAACGATCGTTCTGTATCATTCAGATGCGCCAGACGAGCAAGCCGTCGAAGAGTCCGATTGTGTCATTTGTCCTTGAACGCTTCATGGTCAGAAAGAAGCTAGGCTAGTGCATACAGGATCCTCTGCAAGGGCTAGATGTTAGGGCGGAAACTGTGCAGTCTCCCCAATTGAAAACGTCAACTTTTCATTGTATATTGACTTCCCAACGCTTCGCTAATTACTGATTCTCTTTAACAATGCTTTAGCCCGGTTTTTAGATGATTTCGCTTCCCCCAAGGAGAAAACAAAATAATGAAGGCGGAGGCAGCGAAATCGGAAGGATTGGAATCTCCTTAGCGGAGAACGATATCATGCCAACATTTCGAGACGATTTTACTAAACCCGCGGGTTCACCCAATGACATATATACAGTATTCAGTGATAAGATATAATATATAAAATCACCTTATTCTCAGGACAAAAACAGTATCTTCCATTTGTAACTTAACCCTGCCGCATGAGTAAAACATGAAAAAAAAATTTCCTCTGAAACTCTGGAACAGGGGTGCCCACAGTGATCCTTCAATGACGGACTTGGCATGCTTCATGTGGCACGTGGGTCGCACTTTGGGCTTGCCTGCTCTAGCGAGAGTATCAACTCTAATTACACTTCCAAAACTGAGGAAACATCAGACGTTCGACAATGGTTCAGATTTCAGGCTTGGGTTTCAATTTTGGATTCACACATTACTACTGGATAGTTTTCCATCGCAACGCAATGTATCAATATTCCATTGATAGGGAATGGACTTTCTGAAGGTCATGACTAGATCTCCAAGAAAAATTTACAGCTGGCGGGGGCTGAGTTTCATCATGGCATCTAGGACATGAAAAAACTAAGCTTAAAATGGTTTCTTCTTATTGTCTCTGAAAGGTACCTTCCGAAATTGGCCAAATAAATGCTTAATGAAAAATACATTAAGAAAAAATTACATGCTAATTTCCCTGTCATCATGGGCACACATGGATGACAGGCTTAATATACACTAGAGAGGGTACTAGAGAGATGTGGGAAAAGGGGCGGGGGAGAACTCACTCGTTGGGAAGTCCATAATGGTCCTCGAACCTCCATCTTTGTTCCACATCAAGTACAGGAATGGTGAAGGGTTCTGCATCTGGTCCTGAAGGGCCCCCAAAATGATCTTGCAGAGCACTAAGTAGAGTCTGTCTGGTACATCTAATATTCTCATCAGCGGTACAGCGTACAATTTCTTCATGAATGTCTCTTTCCTGCCACAACATTCTGTCTGAAATGGGAAGTTTCTCTGAAAGTCCTGGCAACACTGTTGCCCCCCACCATGCAGGAGCTCTTATCCTTTCTACTCCTACAGCACACATGGTGTCCACCAAACTGAAGGTATCACTCAGATGAGCCATAGCTTCAACACACTGGTTGAGACACCTCTGGGTTCTCACATCTACTTTCTTTTGCATTTGTGACTTATCAGGAGGATCACTGGAGACAACTTCGGGGCCCCTGCAGTTTGCACCACCATCGGTTTTTTCTGGTTCTCCACCTTCATCATCAGAACATGAGAAAATAGTTTTGTCCAGAGATGCCCAGCTGACATCCAGCCTCCCATCATCATCCTGCATTGAAGGAAAGGAGCATAATACTACATGGGCAAATATCAGCATTATTCTATGATACAGCAGTCATAGAAGACAAAGAAGCACCTCTAGAGGGGGGATGATGTAGTCAGGTTTTCGCACTGGGAGAACTTGAAGATGAAGAGGTAATTGCCATGGTATATTAGCTCGGATTTCACTCAATCCTTTGGAAACCAGCCCCTTCTCAAAGATGTCATTCATCTGTAAATCCAATTAGATAAAATCACCTCTGTTATACAATAATGGACCAAGTTTTCTGAGAAGATTCTCTAAAAGATCTAAACATTCATAGAAAACTAAGAGTTCTCTCTAGACAAGAAAATATCCCATAAACTTCTGCATAATTGATTTCAAAGAGATCTAGCAACATCAAAAGTATAATGTGTGGATCTACCTCCTGCTTCCCAGATTCAAGGAGCAATTGTAGGTTGATAAGTCCCTTTCTCACATCACCATGGCTCCATTCAGCTATTTCATTGCACACAGCTTTATTGACTTTGAAACCTTCTACAGCTGATGCAAGCTGCAGATATAAACCTGGAAATAAAATGAAGAGATGTAAAACAGCAATGATAAATAATGAGATTTCAAGCATGATACATGCAATATCCATAGCATAAAACAAAATAGAAAAATAAGGCCAAACTTGGGTAGTAAAAGTTTCAACTCACTGATGGGTTCAGATGCAACCGGAAAGAAAGGAATGGCCAATGCAATGGCCTTGGCAAGGAAAGAGTGCTCTAAAACTGCAGGAGAGGAAGCTGTCATGACAACAGGGCGTTTGGTGCTCCCTAGCAAAGACCGCACAGCTGCATGCAGCCCCAAATCCAGATCATCAAAAACAAGATCAATATCATCAAATAAGATTAAGGAAAGAGCCTTTTTTGACTTGTTCCTGCAGTCTTCCTCTGCATCTTTTCTTGGTCCTGGGTAAAGCAGAAGCACAATTCACTAATTTCAACTGGACAACAGAAGAGTCTCAATGTCTCAATGAATGATTATTTGGGGAGGACTATACCTTCAGAATGATTCCCTTTCACTTGATGTGAAAGAGTGGCCTCTCGAAGATGTTGCAGCACCTGTTTCCCACTTCTGCTATGCGATGCATGCACTTCAAACACCTGTCAGTTAAACAGGAGTTAATTAGAAGTAAGAGAGGTTTTATGTTTAGAAACTGAAGCCTCCCAAACCAAGTACAGGGTATGTCTGAAAAGTCTTTGCAACCATTTAATATTCCACCAGAATCACACAGTACAAACTTCATGCAATAAAAGTTGGGCATTTACCATGAATGATGTAGTATTTTTGGTTCAAACAGGCAATAGATGGCAATCCAGTATTAGGAAGTGTGGCAGCTATGAGCAAACTTGTGATTGAGCAACAAGTGGTGAAATTCTTGTCTAAAGGGGGTGAAACTCCCACCAACATCTACCAATGAATGAATATGGTATTGTGATGACTGTATGTAACAAAGGAATGTGTAGGACTGGTGTAGGCAGTTCAAAAGGTCATCAATTGATGGTAACTGTGTTTTGGGACATTAATGCTGTCTTCCTAAAGGACTTCCCTCAGTGAAAAATCACCATAAGCACATAAACTTCCTTCTCAACACAAATAAAGCTTCTAAGAGCCACCATGAGGAAAAGGCTACACCCAAACATTCTCCTATTACCATGCAGCCACACACAGCTGTGAAGAGCAGTAAGCATTGCAGTGCATGGGTTGAACACAATGCCCACTCCTGTGAACAGTTGGGACTTAACACCTTGCAATTAATTACCCTTTTGGGTGTCTTCGGAAAATAATAACTGGGGAGTGCCACCTGGATTATGTATCTCTGCAACCATTGTCAAAATATGGCTATGTGAACAGGAAGGCTCCTTTGATAGCAATGGAATCAAAATACTTCTGGACAGATGCCACAAATGTGTGGCTGCAGATGTTGGATACTTTGAGAAGTCTGTATGTGTTCATTCATTCATGGATGACGCATCACATTACATTCCTGCACAATTTGTACCTTGTACAATTCTTGAATTGAATAAAAAAAATTTTTTGCAAAGACTTTGTAGACATGCCTCATACACACGCCAAAACTGCATACCTTAAAGCCAAGGGTGTTGGCAACAGCAAAAACAGATGAGGTCTTCCCACAGCCTGGAGGGCCATGAATTAGAACACAGCTTGGTAAATCATTGCTGTTAATTCCCCACTCAGTGTCAGAGTCACTTTCACTTGAGCTCCCTACTGTTGCTAAGAAATAATTTCATGATCAATTATTTTGCCACCTTCAATCACCAACTCAAACTCTATCCACAACCTCTAAAACTTACAGCATTTCCTCTTTTCCTTCTTCCTTTCTGGTTGCTGTATCTGTGTTCTTGACAGGAACTGCTTTTTCCATTCTGATAACCATGAAAACATGGTATGTGCCCCTCTGTTATTTCCAATCAAGTCATGGGGACTAGATGGTGCATATTTTTCAGTCCAGTGCCATTTGCAGCCAAAACCTACCTCTACTTTTTTTCCAGTTTCAGAAAGTATCTCAGCTACATCATCAGCCTTCTTCCTCTTTTTCCTTGGTATTTTCTTCTTTTGAATTTTCCGTCTTTTCTTTCCTGGCTTCACAGGTGAATCATTATCTGACTGTGATATATCAATGACATCCATATCTCTTTCTGTTGCAAAATGCATCCTGTCTTCTTCTGCCTTCTTATAGCGTGCTTGAAGGCTGTCTCGCAAAATATGAGGAGGTGATGGCAGAACATTCTTTCCTTGTTCACACACAGCCTCCAACACCTCTTTATTTTCCTGAATGAATTCAAAGAACTTCCCTGATATTCTCCTGGAATCATTGCATGGAACCAAACTTTTTTCTTGCATCCCAGTTCCAACTGAATTTAACTTATACATGTCAAAGTTTTTCCTCAAAGGAATCAGGTCACCTAGCACACGCATGGGTAATGTGGCAGAGGAATCATCCAAGCAATCACTAGTTTGCCGCACATGACTGATTTCAGGGAAAGGAGCACCTTCCAGGTCATCATAGCTACAACAAAAGGACATCAATAATCAGAAATTAGAATCTCATATGGCAAAAAAATAGTGCCTCACATCATAAGAAGGCATGAAAATGTCAATTTCTTTTGAATCATTCTGATCCATAAACTGATCAGGAAATTACTAGCACCAGAAAATACATCCAGAAGTCAGAAGGAAACAAGTCTTACAACAAAGGATACAGGATCCAGTAAAGGCCAAAACTTACAGTTGCCAATAGCCAAATGGTGTGACTTGGCCAACTGCAGTAATATTAAAATGATTTCATACTTGTTGAACAAACCTGAAATTTTATTTTAAACCTATATAAAACCAATAAAAAAAAAAAATTATCAATTCAAGCAATAGTTACCAAAACACTGAATGGCCCTTCAACTTTATAAAGTCATGACCTGCATTTTGAATCCATAGGACACAGATCAGATCAACTCTTAAAATAGACAATGGGACCAGAGTCTCACTTAATGGTACTTGATGTAACTCTCTTCACTTCCTCTGGTAACCCACTCAGGAGAAATTCTTTCCTGGCTGCAAGGACAGCAGGGTCTTCAGGGGGCGTAGGAGGAGGTACCCCCTTAGCAGCACGTGGGAGGAACAAAGGTGCAAGCTTCACTGGACCTGAAAAAATAGTAATTCATAATTATTCTTTAAAAGAACACCAAGAGCAGCTCAGATCAACCATTTCATAACATAAGAGAAAAGGATTGACTGGAGATCAGTAAATTCAACTGTTCAAAGAGTCAGAATCATATATATATATATATACATACAGGGTGTTTGTATTTAAATGCAACATAGGAACCTTTCTGCCACCTGTTCCTGGAGTTTAGAGTGTGTCTTATAGCTCACCAGGTAGCATATGTAGAAGGATGAAACCTATCGCTAGTGTGTTTCTGAGCAGATATGCAACGTGTTGAGCCTTATAGCGTTCACCAAACTCAACCTACAGGTGGTAAAATATTCCATATGTTGCACTTAAATACAAACACCCAGTATATATATACGTTTATTATGTTCAGGCCGGAGAGGCCGGGGGCATTTCCTGCCTGTTGGCTTTGGTTGGGAGGAACATCGCAGTTTTCTTCTATTCAATCTCTCTCTCTCTCTCTCTCTCTATATATATATATATATATATCTAATAGAATAAGCAAGCTTTGGAGACTCATCATTACTTAACATACTTGAATAACTATCCTTACCTTTATCAAGGCTTGTACTGTCACAATGCTGCATTTTTCCTCCACCCTCTTCTGCCTCCTTCTCCCTCTCTCTCCTAGATGATCTGGATTTTCGAGGACTTGTCATATTCTCCGCATAGTTCACTTCAAAACAACAATATGTGATAACAATTCAATTGCTATCAACCTCAGGGAAATGTAATGGCAGCCCACCCCACATGTATAATTCACAGAGATAGCTAAGTGATCAGCGATCAAAGTGTTTTCAAGAAAGGTCATGACACTCAAACCAGGAATCAACAATAAATTGACTCAACCAGTGAGGTTTCCTTGCACTCTATCATCATATCACTCTGAATCTCATCTAGACTCAAATAAGGGTATGAAGCTCTGTAAAGTTGCTCATGCTAGGCAGAGACCGAGCTACATAAGTTTTAAAAAAATTGAAAGAAAATTTATAGCAAAAATATGCATTGATACAATCCATAATTGCAATTTAAAAAAATACTAATTCACAAGCTCAAACTTTGGCAAAGAAAACATTAAAGATATTAAAGGATCATCATATTACTCAAGTTTGCATGCCTCACAATCTCTGGCTAAAATATATAAAAAGCATAAAATTTGTTCAAAAGCAATGCTGCCACAGAATTGAGTCAATAAGTAGGGCAATTCAAAAGTAATAGGGAACAATCCTTCCTTAGCAACGCCATTATACATGATCATGATACTTCCAGTGAGGTAATGAATATCTGTGTTGATGATTGAAACCACTAGTTTGTGCCTGCAGAGCTTGGAAACATGATACATGTACAGTTCCCACAGTGGACATTCAAAACTGGTGATAATATTTATGGAAAAAACAAGAAAAAATGGCAGCTGATGTGTTAAGATAGTGACAAGGTCTATATGAATAAGATCCAGGGCTGTGATTGAAATATGCAATGGATGTCTGTCAGAATGATGCGCAAGCAGCAATGAAGACGTGGATTTGGAACATATCTACACTGTGCTTTAATATGACATCAGAGAGGGTACCATGTTATGATCAATACCACTGTAGCATATGTGAATTATTGATAATGAAGACTATATTGAAAAGAAACAGATTTGTTAGAAATGGAATCCATTGCATTTCATAACACATGGCAGGTATCATATGTACACATTAACTTACTTTGCTTTGATTTTGGACCACCCCTTCCTACATGACAAGCATTGATGAAAAGGGGACAGTATTTCTTATTATTTATTAGACTTTCCATGTGGTAGAGAAAGAAATCAAGAATGCATGTCTCAGAAAAAATGAAATTCACCAGTACAACACCATAGACATTCCACACCATATTGATCCTTAGCTACAACAGTTGTATAAAACCAGAACTGACCTGTTTTCCTATTCTTCAGCCTCCCACTCCGCCTTGCAACTGCTGTTTCATTATCAAACTGGTTGATATCTTCTTCCAGGCTATCAACAGTATGTCCTGTTATGTCTTTAGGCTTTTCTTTGTCTTCAAGACTATCTCTTCTTGCTGTTGAACTTTTCTGGCTTGGTTCAGACTTTGAAGCAAGGACTTTTGTCATTTTTTGCTTTGTATTACTGGGATCCACTTCAATCACTTCAACTGTCTTTCCTTTTGTTTCCATTTCCATTCCTGACTTAGAGAATACAAGTTTCACTTGACATGATCCCCTTGACTTGCTTGGGGCACCTTCACTCGAGTCTTGATTGATGTGGATATTCCTACCAGAAGAACATCTGAACTTTTTGTTAGCTTCCTTAGGAGCTTCATCTGATTTACCTTTAGTCCTAACAGGCAATTTTGATAAGTTAGATTCCATCCTGCCAGAGGCAGAAGAATTTTTATTCGGGCTAGGAGAATCCAGGAGCCTCTTGCTATTTCGTCTTGGTTTTTTTATTTCTTCATCATCTGAGTCTTCTGAAGATATAACAATATCCTCTACATTGGATTTGGCTTGAAAATGCTTTTTGGATATAGCACTATCACCTGCCTTTGGAATGGGTGTTTCCTCTGGAATCTCTCTGTCAGCAGCATCATTTGATGACTCCACCTTCTCCTCATAGGAAATATTTTCAACTGATTCATTATTGGATTTCTCTGTATCCTCTGAATCCGTTTTAAGAGAGACCTCAGCTTCAGGAACAAGATGATTAGCCTTTTTCTTATCTGACTTAGGTTCAGAAAACAGCTGTTGCAATGAACTTTGTCTGTGGCATTGAGTTTTTCCTGATGTTTTCCCATTGGGATTAGAAGATTTGCATTCATTTTTCATGGAATTATTCTCACCTTTTAGTGATGTATGACAAGTCATTTCAAGATATCCAGAGGATCCTTCTAAGATTGAATCTTCTGCTGACAGCTTTGGAGAAGTAATCAATGAGTCACTTTTATGGTCCTCTACTTTCTCACATGCAATTCTATCCTTTGATGAAACCATAAAACAAGGGTCACATGAGGCAACATATTTCTGGTCTTCTGTCTTGGGATCATCTTTGTTCAACTCCTCAGAACTACTCAATACTTCTATGTTCCCTTCATCTTCAACATATAAATTGTTTCTTTTCCCCTTTCTGGATCCTATGCTTGACTTCCTTTTAAAGGACTGCTTAGCATTGACCAATGGATCTGGACTAGAGACATTCATGAGCTCTGGATCACTGCAAGCGTGCACCAATGCCTTTGTCTTCACCACAGTAATACTACATTCTGAAAGATAAGTCTTTGGTGAGGGTCTGAAGAACATCATAATACCCTTTGTCTTATTATCAGAGGATGGAGTAGAAGAAGTAACCTGAGATGCAGCTGAATGATTGTCCTCAGCAACAGTAACTAGAGACTCATCATTCTCATCAGATACAAAGTCTCCACTATGATCTTCCACCCCTTCTTTACCAGACCCTTTTCCTGGCTTGGGAATGTCAATACCTTTCCTTTTTATCTGTTTCCTCTTGAGACTTGGGAGGAAATCATCATCAGAGCTCCTCAGAGACTCCTGTGTGATACTGCTGGTGTCTGCTTTAGGCTTGTGACCATGATGGTCATTATTTTGGTTGACTTTTAAAGGGAGACAAAACTTGATCTTCCCTCGTGATGCATTCACATTCACCTTGTCTTTAAAATCATTTGAGTCCTCTTCATACACAGTGATATCAAAATCTTCTACTTCTTTCCAGTTCTTATCACAAGCACTCTTCAGCTTAACTTTTGAATTCTTCTTTGAAGCCATCACACTTCACAGTTAGGATTATGGCTTTGGAAATCTCAGATTGTCCTGGTTATGGACTCTAGTTCGCCTTCTTTAGGTCACAATACCTGAAGATGTAGATAAATTCAGTAATAGTGACTTCTGTGCTCTCCACTTGGAAAGTGAGCTAAAATTAGTAATTAATCATCAGATTATATGGGATAAACCTATTGCTTCAGTTAGGCTTATCATTGGAAAATTTAAGATAGAATCTTATTATGTTTGTGAGAATTTCAAAGTAGGTACAGGCCCAAGCCACAAAGAATGATGCTTGAGCATACATTAACACTTCTAGAACTCTATTTCAGGTATATACTGCAATGACATGGAGTTGAAGTTCCAAAGGTAATGTAATACATAGGCCAACTGGCTAAATAAAAGGCTTGGATTCACCTTTGTGGATATTGACACGAACATTTGACATGTCCCATTTCAAACTGGGGCTTGAAAGTATAGCTACATTTTTTAACATCATTAAAACTATGGGGAAGTGGTAAACATCTGAGTGGTCATCTGAGACTAATTCTTTCAAGCATAATGTTCCCACCATATAACAAAGCCATCTGAAATACAGAAATGATAAACTAGGCTGTGAAAGCATAATTCCAACTGTAATAGCATCAGGAACTGATACCCTTTAGGCCATGGCATAGCTCAACTCAATTTCAACTTATGGCCCCAGTGAATTGTGCACTGTAAGGACACCTTGCAATAACGGCCAGAGATTTATTTAACATCATACAATACCCAATACCCATCATAATTTCTTCATGTATACAAGTCATAACCAAGAGTATTCAGTCTGCCAGCTGAAATTCAAATTTGAAGGCTTTTGACAGGAAAATAACAAGTGGAGCCCAATTATATGTCATCTACAGCCACCTGATTGAAGGATAATACTGGAACTAGATTTAAATACTTTGAGACATATCAGGCTGTTCCATGCCTCAAAAGCTTCTACTTGACCATTGGCATTGCTTTGATCGAGGCTTTTAAATTTGTAAAGTTATATGTATAGGAGCTTGAACACAAGTTCCATGGACTATATCATTTTACCATGGGCCTATTGTCAGCATGTCCAACTCAATGATTGCTGTTATTTAGGCATATACGAGACAATAGCATATCCTGGCTAACTCTGTCTTTCCTGGTCAAATTTAATAAAAATGCGAGTAGAGGCCGAAGTGGACATTGGTATGTGCCCTTCTAAGATGATAAAAACTGTACTCATGTGCTATCAATAAACCTTCATTTCATTCGACAGCAGCACTGGATATTTTTCCTTTGGTCATCCATGCAACGTTTGTCATTGTCCTGCCTTCCCTAGAGACACAACCACAACTCTTTCACAGATAGGTCTACGCAAAAGGCATGTCTAACCGAGCATTACGATGGGCGATGGAAACTAGCACGAGAGGCATGTGTGATAGTAAAGGCGTTTTTCTCTAGCCGGGCTCTACAAACTAACACGTTCACGAGATTTCGCTTAAGGTCAATAAAAAAAAAGAGCTTCTTAAAAGTCGCTGATTGATTTCGGATTGAACCCCTGCATCGGTAGGGATTTCCTTCGTGCTCGGAAGGCAAAACTTATGAACCCAATTCGTCTCCACCGTATTTAATTTTAAAGTTATTTCACTGTTAAGCCAATCGAAGTAACGAAGAGATGTTCGAAAGCAGATGATTCCAAGCCAAAGACAGGCAGAATCACTATCACTGGTCAAAGACAAGGACGACGCCATCAGCATTTTTCGCGCCCTCTGAAACCAGTGCTGTCAATAAACTGGGAAACTGCTCTTGCAGATGTCCAGATTTTTGTGCATGTTCAGATTATTAATTTATTTATCTCATTGGAAAATTGCATCCATTCAAAGGTGACAATATACATAACTTTGCATGGAGAACATAGCAATGAAATTACCGAAGATGACAAGCCAAGGTTTCATTTGCACATGAACAAAGACTCTGTAATCACATATCGCCTCAAGTTCTTATCTCTAACGCCAGTTAGAGCAAGAACAAATCCCACCAATTTTACAAACAAAAGGTACAGGGGCCATATCTCACTCTATTCGTTATGTGTAGCACATCTCATTCTGCTAACCAAATAGCGAAATGTTTACCTCACTCATCCATGCTGGAGCGGGAAGAAGGCTTTTTTTTTTTTAGGCCTTTTGTTTGTTGTCTTAGTTCTGACTAAAGTCAGGTTTTCATGCGCATGCTCAAGTGCCACCACTTCAACCGTCAAAATTTTAAGCCATAGCGTTTAAAGTAATAACGCAAGACACTGGAAAACATGAGCAACGATACAGCAAATTTAGGAGGCTTTTAACAGCTTCAGCTCAAATGAAGCACTGTTATGCTGACACCCAGCTGTTCCCAAGCGATTATTTAAAGTTCGTCCCAAGTCTCAAGAGGAAACAGATAAAAAGGAAAGGTATTGACATTCCCAAGCCAGGAAAAGGGTCTGGTAAAGA